CCTACAGAGGAGGTGGTACACCTCCTGAAGACAATGGAGCTGCAGATGCTGGGTTCTTCTGTTCAAGCTGAAAAATGGCACTACAAGCATGCTTCCTAAAATCCAACCTGAGCAACTCTGGCCAAGAAAACCCCAGGATAGGTATGCCTTAGGGCCACCATAGATTGGAAACAACTTGAAGGCACACAACGATGGTGTCCTAACCTGTAGGACATCTATCTTCTGATGAGCTCTTTGCCCATTTGTTGTGATCTTAAGGAATTAACAGAACGAGTAATAAAAGAGAAAAGATCCTAGACTGCCTGGATTGGAACCCTTCTTGCTCTCTGTCTGCAAGCGGATAACATCCTTTCTATTCCAGCTGATCTTTGAGAATGGATTTGTTGAGACCTTGCAGAATTGTTCCTGTGCATTTTTGATCAAGTTTGTTCTAACCCAGGCATAGGCAAACTTCAGCCCTCCAGGTGTTTTGGACTTCAACTCCCACAATTCCTAACAGCCTACCGGCTGTTAGGAATTGTGGGAGTTGGAGTCCAAAACACATGGAGGGCTGAAGTTTGCCCATGTCTGCTCTAACTGTTGTGAGCTACCTCAAGACCCAACTTAGGGAAATATCGGTATGATGACGATACCACCATTGTATTGCAAAAAAGCAAAGGTCGGAGGCAGATTCGCATCCTATTCTGCAATAGTTCCTGTGCATTTTTGATCAAGTTTGTTCTAACCCAGGCATAGGCAAACTTCAGCCCTCTGGTGTTTTGGAATTCAACTCCCACAATTCCTAACAGTAGGCTGTTAGGAATTGTGGAAGTTGGAGTCCAAAACACCTGGAGGGCTGAAGTTTGCCCATGTCTGCTCTAACTGCTGTGAGCTACCTCAAGTCCCAACTTAGGGAAATATCGGTATGATGACGATACCGCGGAATTGTGGAAGTTGGAGTCCAAAACACCTGGAGGGCTGAAGTTTGCCCATGTCTGCTCTAACTGCTGTGAGCTACCTCAAGTCCCAACTTAGGGAAATATCGGTATGATGACGATACCGCGGAATTGTGGAAGTTGGAGTCCAAAACACCTGGAGGGCTGAAGTTTGCCCATGTCTGCTCTAACTGCTGTGAGCTACCTCAAGTCCCAACTTAGGGAAATATCGGTATGATGACGATACTGCGGAATTGTGGAAGTTGGAGTCCAAAACACCTGGAGGGCTGAAGTTTGCCCATGTCTGCTCTAACTGCTGTGAGCTACCTCAAGTCCCAACTTAGGGAAATATCGGTATGATGACGATACTGCGGAATTGTGGAAGTTGGAGTCCAAAACACCTGGAGGGCTGAAGTTTGCCCATGTCTGCTCTAACTGCTGTGAGCTACCTCAAGTCCCAACTTAGGGAAATATCGGTATGATGACGATACCGCGGAATTGTGGAAGTTGGAGTCCAAAACACCTGGAGGGCTGAAGTTTGCCCATGTCTGCTCTAACTGCTGTGAGCTACCTCAAGTCCCAACTTAGGGAAATATCGGTATGATGACGATACTGCGGAATTGTGGAAGTTGGAGTCCAAAACACCTGGAGGGCTGAAGTTTGCCCATGTCTGCTCTAACTGCTGTGAGCTACCTCAAGTCCCAACTTAGGGAAATATCGGTATGATGACGATACTGCGGAATTGTGGAAGTTGGAGTCCAAAACACCTGGAGGGCTGAAGTTTGCCCATGTCTGCTCTAACTGCTGTGAGCTACCTCAAGACCCAACTTAGGGAAATATCGGTATGATGACGATACTGCCATTGTATTGCAAAAAAGCAAAGGTCAGAGGCAAGTTCGCATCCCATTCTGCAAGAGAGGAAGAGTTGCTCCCAAGGCTGGTCTCCAATGTTGTGCATTGCGTTTGCTATCACGCAAGTCCTACAGAATTGACTGATGAAATCATATGCCAAGGAAATAAACCTTTCTCCTGTTGTGACAATAGAAGCAACCTCTAAAGCTGAGAGCCTTACCCACTTGAGCCTTTCAGGAAATGGCATCCGTGGGCTCATTTGTGGAATGACAAAGAAAGCAGCGTCTCAAAAAGTCCTATTCTTCTCTCCCACAAGTGGCTCCTTTTTGGAGAATTTTTCCTTCCACTTTCAAGAGCTAAACACACACACACTTTGTTTTCTTATAAGGGGGAAAAAGGTCAGTGCTGCATTTTTCATGAAGCCCAGGGCCTTTCATTCCCACTCCCTCCATAGGAAGCAGGCCTCTTCCTATCCTATCATCTCCTTCCCGTTGCCTTAAAAAATGTCAAGAAATGGCCGGGAAAGAAGGCACCTCAAACACGGCACAAATTACGTCTCGGCTTTTCTCATTACATTTCTCATTCGGCGATTAAAAGCCTTTATTCTTCATTTTTGATTAGAAAGCATTCACATATTTCCCTGAGATATTTTTTTCCTCCTTTGCAGAATAAATGAGAATTACCTTTCCAACTTCACACAATTGTTTTGTCACTTGTTATTAAAGAAGTTAGAATCAATTGGTGTCGGAGCGGCGATGAGCGCGGTGAGTGAATGCGTGCGTTGGGGCGAGCGTCATCCCCCTTCCCTTCTCCGGGACTGCCGTTGCACAGTCGGCAACATTATGCATTACGTCCCAAATTGATTTCCAGAGAAGCATCCAATTTGGCTCTTTTTCAAATCAGAATTAATTTCAGACAATATCGTTCTGAAACTTCTATAGCAAAACAACGACAGCCTTGAAGCCAAGTAAAAATCGTCAGTTTCATTGGGCCTGCAATATTTTTTTTGAGTTAATTCTGAGATTCGTCTCATGCAGGCCTGGGCCAACTTGGGCCC